ACTAACGTCATCATGAGAGCTGCTCCCCGATTCTGTTGATGTCTCCCTTTGTCACTTCTGTGGCCCCTCGTCTCCCTGTATGTAGAATACCAACTCTCAGCCTACCACATGAACATAACTGCAGTGACCAAGTGAGATAGTAAAAATACTTGGAGAAAAAACTGATGCCTTCCGCAACGAAGGTGTGAACACCACAGCTTTTCCAAACAGCACAGGTTCCGGCAAATACTGGGCACCGACAAGGCCAAGCTTGGTTGGGTCCAGAAACTCTGTTACATATATGGGGATTTCCACTGAATTCAAACGCTTCCCAGAAACACCTAGAGCCCTTAGCAAAGGTTCTAACCGGGCAGCCAATCGGAAAAACCCCCGTGGGCCTATGAATCAGTCTTCAGGAGACTTTTTTGTTTTGTGTTTAACATTTGGGTCCCATGGATGACTCAAGCATAACTTCCTTGGCGTTGAAGGAACTGGGAACTGAGATGAACTGCCCAGTTTTTAATTGCATTTGGCCTCTGTGTACCCCATGTTGTAAGTTCCCCATTTGTCGGGGCACCGTGAGAATGATGATCTGTCACTGGCTAGTCTGAAAGCCTGGCTGGCGTGGCTCAGTGGTTGAGTGTCGACCTATGAAGCAGTAGGTCAAGGTTGGATTCCCAGTCAGGTCACATGCCCCGGTTGTGGGCTCAATGTTTCTCTCTCCCTCTCTGAAATGAAATATATCTATATCTATCTATCTATCTATCTATATATCTATCTATATCTATCTATATCTATATATATATATCTATATCTATCTATCTATCTATCTATCTATCTATATATATATATATATAGATATACATTTTTTTTACTCAGCTTTGGTATCTGAGAAGTTTAGGATTCCTAAGATAAAGGGTTCTAGCCTTCTAAGAATCTCAAATTCTCTCTTCTTTCTCTCTCTCTCTCTCTCTCTCTCTCTCTCTCTCTCTCTCTCTCTCTCCCCGTGTGTGTGTGTGCGCGCACATGCGGCTTTTAAAATGGCTTAAATAATGAGAGCAGCACAGGAAAACATATGGAATTGTGTTTGTTGACTACTTACATACCCTCTACCCTGTCCAGCTGACTCTGCCTCTGGATGCATCAGACTCCATATTGAACATGGATTCCCCCCGCCCCCGTTTCCTGGAGTCTCTCATTTTCTCCATTGCATTCATTCAGAGGACAAAAAAGACCTCGTAAATGTCATTTCATATTCCAAGCAATTTGCTATAGGCAACTACACCATTACATTGTACAAATAAATTTACATAAATCATTATTAGAATGCTTTATCTTAGCAACATTATTTGGTTCCCAGAGCACAAATTAAATGCATGCTTAAAGCAGAATATTTTAAAGTTATTCCTATATTGTTTATGAGATAGAATTAGAAATTTCCTTTTTCTTTCATAGTGGAATTTTTTTTTTTGTTTTTGTTTTCTTTGTACATTTAGAAACCACATCTATAATTTTCAAGGGAGGGGATGAGTTCTTGAAGCAAGCAATGCAATCGATGAGCCTGCCACATTTGGTTCATTTTCAGAGACTGTTCCCTTTGATTCCATGGGTTTGGTTTTGAACACTGATTAGGAAGGTCAGGAACCAGGGAAATTAATACCAGCTTGTGAGTCGATGGGTTTTTGTTTGATATTATTCTGCAAGCAAAAACTGGTCTTTGGTTGTGGTGCGGCTTTTTTTTTTAAAATAAACAAATTTGTACATAAACTTCCTGAAAACAGAGCCTGGTTTTTCCTAGCTGTTTGTGTTGGGAGGGTGCCTGTTTGGACCAACTGCATAGCACATGGCAAGTCTTCACTGGCTAGAGTTCGACTCCACCCTAGATTTCTAAATGCGGTCTTTTCTCCCTATGCAAAACGCATGCCATTTTAAAGCCAGCTGCGCCGTCAACAGCAGGGGAGTGGGGACGGAAAGGGACTGGCGGGATGTCAGGAGACACACTACAGCCCCGGTCCTGCTCCTTTCCGGTTCTGGAGATGCATGGGGTGATCTGGTATCTTCACTGCTTGTCTGGGTCCTAACAGGCTGAACTCACCGCTCAGGGCTGCAACCTTCCACCAGCTTGTGGTCTGGGAACAGAGTCCCAAGCCTGTGTCAGGAAAGTGTGGGCCCCACGGGGCCAAGGGCTCAACCTCGTGCCTATGAGCACAGCGTCAGGCCTGGAATCAGAACCGAGTGCTGTCCCTTGAGAGCCGTGTGATCATGAACAATTCAACTCTTTCTGCCTCTGTTACCTCATCCTATATAATAAAAGGCTAATATGCAAAGTGTCCCCTCCAGAGTTTGACCAAGAGACCGGTAGTTCGATCGCTTGCTATGACATGCGCTGACCACAAGGGGGCGGTGTGGAACATGGCGGCGACCAGTGGTGGTGGCGGCAGGGTGCTGAGGGAGCGAGGGAAGAAGGAGGCGGGAAGGTGGGGAACCTGATCAGCCCTGATTGCAGGGCAGGCCTAGGGACCCTACCCGTGCAGGAATTTTGTGCACCGGGCCTCTAGTCTGAAAATAAAGAGATTACTCGTACCTACCTCACAAGTTTGGAGATTGAATGAAGCAACGGAGGCAAAAGCTTAGAACAGTGTCTGACGCTTAGAAAAAGCTTAGTAAACAGGAGGTAATAATCTCAAAGGATGACCAGTGGGGTCAAACTGGGGTGATCACATAATCTACAGTCTATACCCAGATGTTTCTGGATGTGAAAGGGAGGACTGTATGATAATTATGTTGGGTTAACTGGCGAATGCTAGGACATTCCCGGGCGTGTGTGACTACCCAGACGCCAGCCCACTGCCATTCAAGATGTGATAAAGAAAGTAAGTAACAATTGTATCTTAAGATATTTTACAACTCATACCTTTCAAAGCGCCTTCATACATCTTATTTGCACCTTTAATAAACTATGTAGCCCAGCCTGTATGGCTCAATGGTTGAGCACTGACCTAGGAACCAGAAGGTCATGGTTCCATTCCCAATGCCTGGGTTGTGGGCTCGATCCCCAGTCAGGAGCGTGCAGGAGGCAGGTGAACAATGATTCTCTCTCATCATTGATGTTTCTATCTCTCCCTCTCCCTTCCTCTCTGAAATAAAAAAATCTTTTTTAATAAAATAAACTATGTGAAAAAAATTATAGGGCTGTGTTCCTGACCCTTTAATAATGACCAAACACGTGGCAAGCATAGAAAAAGTATGGGGTTTCCCCCAGTGACACAGTATTACAGGGACTGTGGGGGCCCCAAGCAATCCTCTGCTCTGCCCTACTTCCCAGCCTCGGGGAAGCGAGACAGGGTCATGTGACTAATTCTGGCCAATGGGCTGTGGATGTAAAGCTGGTTTGGGTCATTTCCAGGCTAAGGCAGTTAAGAATGAGTGTGTGTTCTCAACTTTTCCCCACACACATTGCAGCAGCCAGGAAGCCGTGTTTGAAGATGTAGGTGTCACAAGAGGGAAGAAGCATGGAACCTCAGAACACTGGCTACAGGCAGGCACACTGGTGGCTGCCGATCCAGGCTCTGCCTCCAGGAAGGCCCAAGCTCCGGGGTCAGCGGGACTCAGCTGCAGGAGCACCTGAGCGTGCGGGACAGTGGCCTGTGGCCTGACAGGAAGAGCAGGTGCCTCAGAAGACAACTCTCAGCACTACCTTCAAGACCCAGGCCAGCGAGAGCCGCCACTGCTTTATCCAAGAGCAACCCTGGAAAAGAGCCAGGCGTGGGCAGCATGTACTTGGCCATCTCGGGGCTAATCAGGGCATGTGCTCCCCATCCCTGACTGTGGTCCCTCACGCAGCCCTGAGACTCCCCTGACTTCCGGCTTTCGGAACTCTCTAGATACGCTCTCGGCATCAACTTATAAACACTTGTCCTTGGCTTATGCTCCCTACCTGTCAATTCCACTCCTCAGCCCAGAATAGCACCTTGTGAATCACCAGGTACTGACCTCACACGATCCCTGTTTCATCCCAAGGCCTTTTCAAGCCACACCTGCCAGGCAGAGCTTGGAGGGAAGGGGTGCAGGTGTGTAAGAGAAGAGTCAATAATCAGGTAGACAGGCAGAGGCCGGGTGTGGACAAACCCAAAGAAGCAGAAAAGGCCAGCAAAGTGGCAGCCAAAGCCAGGGCTGGGGTGACAATGACCGCTGTCCCTGAAGGAAGCTGCCAGCCAAGGCCCCACCGTAACAGGGCAGGTGAGAATCAGGGTCCTAGTCCAGGCAGCCAGGGCCCCCGTTACCTGGGCTCACTGCGGGCTCATTCCCATCTTCCCACCCAGGCGCCAAGCTACTCCTCTCCTCGCTTCCTGGCCTAATGATCCACAGTGATAAAGCCCAGCCCACGCCCTCCCTCTTCCATGGATTCTTCCCGTTATTTCAGTTCCAGTCCTAAAAGTCTCTCAATTCCCTGAACCAGAGAGCTACCATCACTGCCCAGCCCCAGCCCCACATGGCAACACCATCTGCCACCCTCTCATGAGTGGGTGGGCCCCACGTCTGTCCCAGGAACACATATTTTAGCCCCATCTGACCCGAGAACACATAACCCATACTCAATAATACTTATGACCTCCATTAAAAGGTATAACATAAGAAAGATTAATTCGAATACTAGTATGTGGTCAGATGAGAAAGAAAATGATTTAGAGGAACTACGGTAGAATCCAGTTTCCACACGAAAAATTCCCAGCGAGGTTCCCTTTGCTTTGTGTGCCTACGAAACGCACCCAAACTTCAAATGAAGATGTGATTCGATGTTTTCATTATCTTAATGCCTAAATTGGATTGACCACATTGCCAGTCTGATCAGCTGCATAAATTGATCATTAAGAAGATTGGGAGGAAGAGGGGCGGATACCAATTGATGGAGACGATCAATTTGGCATCTGCATTTACATATGGAATAGCGTTGGTATTTCATTTATTCAGTGCAGTCGCTGTGAGGTGTAAGCGAGCTGGTGAAGACCGACTGTGGTTACCTGAGTCAGAATGGGTCCAGGAAACCGAGGTCAGCATTGCTCCAGTCACGGGAAGGACAGAGAAGCCTCCATTGTCACCAGAACCGCGGTCTTCTGGGAGATGATGCTTCTAGTGGCTGGTGGAGAGGAGCAGAAGGAAGATGGGGTTAGAGCAGAGGAGGAGAGAGGACCCTCTCAGCCACAATGAATGCCATCTCTGGCCAGGCTCTAAAAGATGCCACACTTCAGTGACAGCGCCGATTGCAACAGCACCTCTTTGTTGCTTGGAAAGTTTATTGAAGCGCCGGGTCTTTCATGATGGAGTGTTCTTGAAACTGCCTCACAGGGCACAAAAGGACCCAGAGATGTGAAAATGCATGCCATAGACACTGTGAGACTATCTTCTGTTACTACAACTGCTATTGAGACATTTGTGAGATCACTTTATTTTACTATGGTTGCCACTGAAACACTTGTGTAGATAAAGGAGAGACCTCAGAGCACCAACAAGCATTGTAGGCCAGTGCTGAACCACGTGGACCGGCCTTCATCCACTGGGTAGGCCAGGTCCACAGGCGCAACCTCAAGGACTCTCTATCCTGCTGCTGTAAAAGAAAATTACTCTGGCTCTACTCCTGGGGGAAAAGGTCCCCTCTAGCTAAAGCTCACTAAATGGGCTGCAAGCTTTTGAGCCACAGTTAACCCATAATCTTGCAAAATAAGAAAGTTGGTACATGGGGTGGATTGCATCATAATTTGATGGAAGGTATTTTTCTTTTTTTTCTTTTTTTGGCCTTCGCCTCAAGGAAGACAGATCAATAGACGGTCTACTAAAAACAGTGGTATTACCCGATGAGGTTAGTGTGAGAATCCTAGGAAATAAATCCACTGAATCAGTGGTTCCCAAATGATAGTCCCTGGAATAGCAGCATGAGCATCCCCGTGAGTTTGTTGGAAATGCAAATTCTCGGCCCCCACCCAAGACCACCTGAATCTGAATATTGGAGGTGGGGCCCAGCGATCTGTTTTAACAAGCCCTTCAAGTGATTCTTATCTTTCATTTATCCACCCATCCAAAGACATCCAATCTGTTGTTGTAAACCAAAATTATCCTACCCTGATGCATGTTACACTTCAATTAAGGGCAAAGTACTGAGCTGGGGATTGGAAGGAAGATGGAAGGGTCACAGACAGAAGATGATGGGATGGCCACCTTGGAGAAATGTATTGTCCACTGTGGGCGATAAGACATGTATGTAGGTAACTCAAATACAGACAGACTGCATTATTTCCTGTAACGAACAGAAGGTTTCAGAGGAGACATTTGTTTCTGGTGGAGGTGAGGAGGGGGGCATATAGGAGAAAGCATCAAGACAATAACAATACTAATGGGCCTTGAGATTTGAACAGAATTTTGACCAGGAGGACCAAGCAATAGCTAAAGCAAAGACCCAGAGAGGAGCAAGCATGAAGTCTATTCAGGGTGCATGGAGTAGCCAGGTCTGGCTGATACTGGAGACACGTGGAAGGTGATCCAAGTGAGACAAAAACACTTTCAAGTACAAACAGGTAAATGCTAGGCGCCTGTGGCATCTGTTGTGTATGTTTAGAAATTGGCATCTAATAAATCAGGGGACTCAAAGGTTTCTGAACCCAGCTTGCTTTTCTGTCCTTTCTGTACTGCATTTTCTAGAAGGGAGCTTAAAGGAGCAACTGTGGAAGGTTTGCCCAGGAGGAAGACACAAAAGAACATTTTAAAGTAGGCACAGGACTCTGGATGTCACTGTAGCCTCAGGCCATTCTGCAAAGGGGCAGAATCTTACCAGACCTAAGAAGCCCCTGAGGACATCTATGGTTTTAGCTTTATAAAACAACTCAAGGGAATAGTGGTGTGCCTTAGTCACAGGGAAAAGTTAAAGGATTGGAGAGGAGAAATGGATGAGGGTAGTCAAAAGGTACAGACTTCCAGTTATAAATAAGTCAAGGGAATGTAATGTACAGCACGATGACAACAATTAATAATATTCTATCGCATATTTGAAAGTTGCTAAGAGGGTAGATCTTAAAAGTTCTCAGCACATACAAAAATGTTGTAACTATGTAAGGTAATGAATGTTAACTAGACTTATTATGATCATCTCGCAATATATACAAATATCAGATCATTATGTCGTACACCAGAAACTAATATATGTCATATGTCAATTATACCTCAATTTAAAAATATTGAAATCATGTTAAAAATGTTAAACCGATACTCAAGATCTCCAACTAGAGAAAAATAATTTTCATGATCCAGAAGGTATGGCTTGCCCAGCCGGCATGACTCAGTGGTTGAGCATTGACCTATGAACCAGGAGGTCATGGTTAAAATCCCATTCAGGGTTTCGGGCTCCATCCCCAGTGTGGGGCATGCAGGAGGCAGCCAATCGATGATTCTATCTCATCATTGATGTTTCTATCCCTCTCTCCCTCTCACTTCCTCTCTGAAATCAATAAAAAAAATTTTTTTTAAAAGAAGGTATGGTATTTGCTTCTAGGAAACTAACATAAATAGAATGCTTTCTTTCCTGATGCTGCCAAATGAATGATGGGATACTGAAAATGTGTGTGATGTCACACAAGGCTCTGATGGAAACGAAGCTGGATTCAGTATTGGTGATATCTGGTCGTTCATCCCAGCTCTGCCATTTGGCCATTGAGTCATTATGGGCAAGGCATTCAACCCCCTAAACCTCAGTGTTTCCTCAATTAAGAAACAGAGGCACTGGCCCTAACCGGTTTGGCTCAGTGGATAGAGCGTCGGCCTGTGGACTGAAGGGTCCCAGGTTCGATTCTGGTCAAGGGCATGTACCTTGGTTGTGGGCACATCCCCAGTGAGGGTGTGCAGGAGGCAGCTGATGGATGTTTCTAACTCTCTATCCCTCTCCCTTCCTCTCTGTAAAAAAATCAATAAAATATATTTTAAAAAAGAAAAGAACAGAGGCACTGGCTTGCCCCAACTTCTTTGAAATTTAAATAAGAAAATACACATGAAGTTGCTGTGAAAATGATAAAGTTGCAATACGGCACAGAAGTATAGAATTATCCTACTCCTTGGGACATTTGGGTACTAATTAACACTTGTTACTGTGTTTGGCCTTTGAAAATATAGAAATAAAATGTTTCTTATGCCCTTGAGACTCCTTTTAAATATTTGCAGATATAGCACTTCTAAGGAGCAAACTTGGCATCAACCAAAGCACTCTCCCATGAAACGCTTCACGGCGATATTTTTACTTGTGATTTTGTTTTTAATTTCATTCCTGACCGCGATGGGGGATCCAGTTATCTTTCAGCCGCGCCTGGGGAGCACAGCTCAGTCTTCAGCAACACAGACATATACGATGGCGATAATTTATCATCTCTGCAGTAGTGTCGTCCCAGATGGACCATTTACTGATTTATTTCCATATGTAACTGGCAGAGAGATTAATCAGGCTTCCAACTTGGAAACCCGAATTGCGCTTTATTTCCTTAACTGGCTAACTCTGGACAAGAGGAAGTACACAATCATACAGAAAACCAAGAGTTCCCCTTCCAAAGCCTGCTGACCTCCAATACCTTTAGACACACACACACACACACACACACACACACACACACAGCTTGTTCCTCCTGTCAACTCAGAGGGCTGGTTCTTTCCTTAGATACTCATGGGCTTCCCACAGGAGCTGAGTCTAGTAGAACTGCGGGCACCATGAGCCCAGAAACGTTAATGCCAATCAGGTCCAGTTGCAGCCACCCTCCCCTCCCCGTGTGCACGCTCAGGCTCATATTTCTGAGACTGAAGAGATCCCTTTGCCATGGCGCTGCACCCAGCTGGCCCCGCTGTGCGGTGCCCGGGCCCTGGAAAGTATGTGCTTTCTTTTTTCCACTCTTTTTAAGGGTCTGAACTTGACTGAATTCAGCAGCTGCCATAACGTCAGCCAGGCGATGGCTAATGACCTGCTAGCATTGCTCCCAGTTCACCCCCACCCCAGGTCAGCTCCCAGTCCACTTTTGTTAATTCTACCCCCATGATAGTACCTTTTAGCAAAGAGTATTAATGGGATTGTTGTCACCGGACAGTGTTTACATACAGAAAGCCAGCCAATCGCAACACAGGGCAGAAAGCACCAGCTGACTGTGACATCTCACGTGGAACCCAAGGCTTCGGGCAGGAAGGCTCAGTACACAGGGCCATGGAGATATTTTTTTTTTAAATCCTCACCCAAGGAGATGTTTTTATTGAATTATTTTTTCTTTATAGACAGAGCTAGGGAGAGAAACACCGATTGACTGCCTCCCACACTGACCGGGAATCAAACCTGAAATGTTTTGTTGTACGGGATGATGCACCAGTGAACCATGTAGAGCTATCACTGGCTCCCCACACACCTGGGTCACTCACCCCCAAGTGGCTTTGGAACAGTCACTTAGTTTGGGTTCACAATTCTCTAATCTGTAGTTTGAGTTTACTCTGTCAGGTTCCTTCTGGCTCTAAAATCTCGTGATACTATGAATATGGGGGGGGGGGGGGATCAGCCATCCCCTTGGTTTCTGTGTTTAGATGATGCAAAACAGCCAGACGTTTGGAAGCCTCTGAAAGTGGCTGAATCGGTCCAGATGCTGGGGGCTGAGACAGACAGAGCCGTGGGAAGCTCAGTACCCAACAGACTCTCCTTCAGCAGAGAGCATGAGCACTGGAAGGTTGCACAGCTTTACAAGTTTTTAAGAACGCGATGCAATACAACAGTTCCGAGTACTGTTCTAGGGATGGCAAAAGCTACAAGGTGCCGAAGTCATGGACCTTTCTCCTTCGTACACTGACATCTCAGTTAAGAAAAGACACAACTGATCTGAATACAGTGAAAGAAGTGCTATCATTGAAGACAAAGAAACTGTGATGGGAACATGGAAGTTGGAAAAATGCTCCTGACGAGGGGGAGAGGGGAAGAGCTGTAAGGTTGTATGGAGGACGTGGAATCTAAGCTGGGTCTTACAAAGCAAAGATGGGGGTGAAAGCGTTCAATGGATACACCAGCGAGAGCAAAGGCCTAGGGCTTCCTGGCCAGCCCAGGACACGGTATCTGGTGCCCTAGGGCCGCCACAGGAT